TCTGGTTTACTACAAAAAAGCTTTTGGAAGGGAGATATGAAACATAATGTAGAGCTTGAACATAATGAAGAGCTTGACAACCTGTTCATGAGATATACAGCAGTGGCAAAGGCTTCTGGCTAAAGGAATTGTGGTAGACCATTTGCATATATCATGAAAAGACTACTCTCAACAATGTGACGGTGTTTGCGCTCAGCAACACCATTTTGTGTTGGAGTGTATGCACATAAATATTGATAATGAATTTCATGTTGACTTAAATATTCTTTAAAAACATGAGAGGTGAATTCATCTCCACCATCAGACCTAAATGTCTTGAGTATGCAAGCGAATTGATGCTCAGCATAAGTGTGGAATTTAACAAAGCAATTAAACACATCAGATTTTTTCTCCAAGAAATATATCTAAGTAAAATGAGTATAATCATCTACAAAAATAACATAAAATCTAGAACCTCATAAAAAAGTAACTGGGGTTGGACCCCAAACATCACTGTGAATTAAATCAAGAGGAGCATTGGACTTTATATTGCATGAGTCAAGTGTAGATTCAAAGTGTTTTCTTAATTGACAAGATAAACATAATGAACCAGGAGATAAGTCATAAACAAAATTGGGTGGAGCTAACTCTCTTTCAAGATGACTGACAGTAATGAAACTAAGATGACCTAGGCACTTATGCTAAAAACTAGAACCTCCTCCTCTGGCTTTGGAGATAGTCGTAGTTATTATAAAGCACATACAAGCCTTCTCTCAGCAATCACCTTTCCACTTTGTTGATCCTTCAAAACACAACCACGAGGAGTAAACTCAAAACAACACTTCAAATCTTTAGCAAATTTAGTTTGGGAACAACTAAAACATTAAGAATATTTAAGGAACCAAAGGTAGTGGAAATAGTCACGGTTCCAATATGGGTTATGGGTAAGGCAGTACCATCTCCAATGAATACCATATAAGGACCGCGATAAGGAATCACACCTCTAAGTTGAGAGTTGTCATCTGTCATATGAGCAGTTGCACCAGAGTCCATCACCCAAGAATGATCTATTGGAGTAGTGACTAATATATTGCTGAAATCATGCACGAGAGCATCGTGGGACGATGAGGCATTTTGATATCCCAACAGTTTTTAGCAATATGTCTATGTCGCCCATAATATTGGCAAGTCACACGAGGTGTCATACCTATTCTTTGCTGAGGAGGTTGATGGTAAGAAAGGTTGGCTCCAAGAAGGCCCTGCTGATTTGGGTTGCGATCTCTACCTCCTCTACCACCATAGTGACCACATCCTCTAGCATATCTACCCATGTGCCCTAATAATATGCTCACCAATGCTTGAGGATTACTTCCAACAACTGATGAAGATACAAATCGAGCCTTGTATGTGAGAAGAGAGGAACGAAGCTCTGAGAATGATGGAAATTGTGGTTTGGTTACCAAGGATGTCTCAAAGGACTTAAACTCTGGACTAAGACCTTTGAAGGTATAGAGGACCATATTTTGATCACTTACTGAACTACCAATTACTGCAAGATGGTCACATATAGTTTTGAACTTGTTCAGATATTCAATCAGTGATTGAGAACCTTTTTGTAAATTGATCAACGTTATTTTAAGTTGGAAAACATTAGCAAATGTTTCCCTTTGATAAGTGTTGTAAAGGGTCTCCCACACATCTTGAGTTGTTTTTAGGTGTATCACTTCAGTGAACAAGTCCTCGAAGAGTGTAGAAAGTAACCAACTCAATAATGTTTATCCTTCATTCGTCATTCTAGAAATTTGGGGTTCATTGATGGTTCTTGCTTGTTGCCTTGATTGTTTTTTGGTTCCTCGGAGATAAATTCATTTTGTGGTCGACTAGATCCATCACGATCACTTTCAAGATTCGGGCCTTCAATACGATTTAAAACTTAGGACTTCTATTTGAGGTAATTATCTCTACTAAGTTTAATGGAGATGAAGGATGGAAAGCCTAGAGAGGCCATAGTTAGAAAAAATGACAACTTCACTTGAAGTTTTGGAGATAAAGTACTCGCTAATGCTGCGAAATAACAGTGATGTTTTTTTTTTGTACCACTTTTACTGAAGTGGTTTTTTTTTTTTGGGAAGAACAAACTTACATCAGTAGGTTGAGTACCGAACTTTGGTTTAGGTTTATAGAGACTAGTTCGGTACAAAGGTTGCCAAACTTTGATTTTGCCTTTCAGAGACCAGTTCAACACAAGAATTGTTGAACTTGATTTGGTAAATACAAAGACTAGAACTTTCACTTTTGAGAGAGAATAAAACAAGAAGAGGTGAAAGTCGGTGATAAGGGATAACTTTTTACAACAGGAGGTAAAGAAGAGATAAAGAGACGGTAACTCCAAGATGTGAGGATAAAAACAACCTTTCAACAAGAAGACAAAATTGCCTTTTAAGAGGGAGAGAGAAGGAGGTTGTTGTGATTGAGAGAAGAAGAAGTGGGTTTCCTTTAAATTGAAATTTGGTTAGGAGGAAAAAAAAATTGGGTTTTATTGCACCAGAACTGCAGAGCAAAGTAGAATCTCAAATGGGCATTCACATGATCAGTACTATAAAAACGAAGAATAATAAAAGAGAAATGATTTTATCAAATAAGATAACACAGGTAGAAGAACCAAGACAAAGAAGAAGAGGGATTGGTTTTTCTCTTAGATCATTAATACCTAAGAAGGAAAGAGAGAATAACAAGATTATAAGGTAAAACTCTTATAGGTTATGCCTCAGTGAAGGGAAAGATGAGTTTGAAACTCTGATACCATGAAAGACTAGGAAAACCCTTGAGAGAGAATATATATATATATATATAATGGACAAAAATACTTTTGAGGGTAAATAATGAAAGAATAACCTAGACAATGTTATGAAAGACAGTAAAAATACAATCTCTTTCTTAACATCTACTACTCTGATTTGTCATATTTCTGGACATGACTAGCTTTTCTGGCGGTGGTTTTAGCTACAGCCAAATTCAGACCATTTTACGAAAAACCGTCGAAAAGTGCTAGAATCCGGAAATCTCCTATTTTCATATTTCAGTGATGAATCATCTCTCTAAGACTCAAACAAGTCAGAGGCTTCGGTTAATGAAATTTCAAAAGAAGATGAATGAGAATGCTCATTTTCTAAGAACCAAAAAAATGATTTCTGACAAGGATAGGGGTGCCACAGTGTCGACTTCAGAGAGAGAGAGAGAGACAAGGGCAGGGGACTACCCTACACTAGAGAGAGAGGGAGATAGAAGGGCAGAGAGAGAGAGAGCTATGTGCAAGAATGATAAGGAGTTTGGCAACCACCTTTTCTTGCATTGTCCTTCTGCGGTTAGTATTTGACGGGTTTTCAGAAAATGGGGTTTATCTCTTTAGCTTTTTGAGAATTTAATTGACATTGTTCGTCATCTCAGTCTTGCATGCTTGCCTTCAAAAGGAGTTCTTATTTGGAAAATATATATAAAAGTGCCATCATTTGGCAGATTTGGTTGGAGCGTAATAGGAGAACTTTTGATGAGACTTCTCTGAACATTGAAAGTGTTAAAAATCGTATTCTTCAAACTCTATGGGACTGTATTTTTTCCTCCAGTGAAGGGCAAGGAATTTCTTGGTTGACATTTTTGCTAATCTTAAGAATATAGTCTTCTCTTTCATACACAATTCTTGTCCTCACTCTGTTTGGAAATCTCCACCTGACGACTCTCTCAAACTCAATGTCAACGGAAGCTCCTTAGGTAACTCGGGTCCTACCGGAATAGGATTGCTAAGGGACCATGAAAGGTCGGTTATCTTTTCATATGCAGGTCCTTATAGTAACACTATAGCCAACCAGGCTCAAATCTACTCCCTTTTCAAGGGTTGGAACTTATTGTCAATAAATGGATTTTAGGAGATTCACTCAATGTCTTGGAACAAAGAATTCCTTGGTCTCTATATGTTTTTGGGTTAAAAATCTTTGATCTTTGCTCTACACCAAACCTTCAAAACTCCTCTCCCATGTCTACCATGAGGCCAATGGGGCAACCGACAATCTAGCAAAAGACGACACTTCTTTATCCTCATTGTCTATCTTTGATATTTTAATTTCTACAGTGTAACATGATGCTGTTTCAGCACAATTTCAATAAAAGTTTTTAACATTGTCGACAAAAAAAGAGGGGAGGAGAGAAGGGCAAAGCCATGTCGACCCTGCAAAAGAGATATTACCAGGCTGGGTGGTCTGGTAACTGGCTGGGTTAAAGAAGACCAGGCCGTGTAATAGATAACCAGGCCTACTCGGGCTGGTCAGGTAGGGTGCCAAACCCTGGCAGTTAAACTCCCATAACCGACCTAAACCATTAAGGCGGCAAGTTTTGTCAAACACGGCTAATCAGCGTTTGCGTATTTCAAATCAGAATGCGAGCCGCAATCTTTTATCATTTATTGAAATGACGTAAGACATGAAAATGCCAAGTCCAAAATCATTTATTGAAAATGACGTAAGACATGAAAATGCAAGTCCAAAACATCAACAAGAGCAGTAATAGCAATTTTTATGGACATTCACATAAACATCCGCATCTAAATGTCGTATCTCTGGCTGCCGAGGCTATAAACAATCAAAGTATAGCACATTTTCAAGTAGTATCGAAATGTGATTTCAATACTGAAAATCTTTGCGATAGCCTTAAAATATAATTATTATATTTAAAGGTTCAAAAATATTATACATCAAACAGATCTATACAAACTTAAAAATCTTGAAAATTGATGGTCCAAAAATACATTACTATAAAATCATGTCCATGCATCTTGAGGTTGACGCATCTTGAAGTTGAGATGGTTAATTTGAAGATATTTGCACATCAAAACAACTTCTTCTAATGAATTTTTTTTTGAGGTATGCCCTAATTTGATTGCTTAGAGTCTCGCCCTTATATAAGAGAGCAAAAAAAGACTATAGTAAGAGAGAGAGTGCACTTAGATAAGAGAGAGAAAGAAGAGACTGTAGTAAGAGAGAGACTGCAGTACTGTAAGATCAGGTAATGTATCAATCTACAAATGAACCGTTTGTTTTGGATAAGTGGGAAAATGCCCACTCTTGCTAAGATACAAGTAACAAAAAGAAGGCACAACCTTAGGTAGCCATGTGGTCATGGAAATAATTCATCTAAGAAACTAATTAACATGGCACACCTAAAGCCAAATAATTACCTGCTGACCGCACCTTTTACGCTGGGACTTTTCAGTATCAGTCCCTGTTTCTTCTTTACATTCATTTACATCTCTCTCTCTCTCTCTCTCTCTCTCTCTCTCTCACCACTGTAGAATGCCTTCTAACATCAAAATTTACAACCCAAAAATGACAACATTCCCAAGAACCGCCTGATATCCACCTCGTCTAACAAATCTCTGTGTCCCAATACCGATCCATCTTTCTTTTATGATTTCAACTCCAAAACCTTTTATATAGTCACTAAGAAAAACAGGCAAACCTTTCGAACAAATTGCTTGATGCTCTGGTTTTCACCTTGGCTCAAAAGTAGTGGTAATTGGGTCACTAGATGATGATGGAGGAGGAGAGGGAGAGAAGGGGGAGCTCGAGGATTTGGAAGAGGCGTCGGGATTGATCACATTTGTGTTGAGAAAAGGTGGTTGCATGGGCAAAGGAATGGGGTGATCGTCATCTGTGAGCATCCTAACGACAGTCGACATGGAGGGCCGTAGATTTGCAGAGGCTTGGGTGCAAAGAAGACCGATTTGGAGAACATTCGAAGCCTGTCTTGCAGGGAAATTGTCTCTCAAGCCTTGATCCACAGCTTCAGCCAATGAGTTTGACTTGAAGTGTTCCCAAACCTGATAAAATAAGACAGAGAAACAGATAATTTAAGTACAAGAGAGAGAGAGAGTAATTCAAATTGATCAAAAGAGAAAAAGAGTACATCATCATATTGAGATCTTAATAGATGCCTACCAAGTTCATAGACAGATGAATGTGTGTGTTCCAAGCTTGAGAACGAGAGAGAGAGAGAGAGAGGAGGGAAGGAGAGA